ATCCTAATATCACAGGTAACTGTTAAAATTATTTCTTATGGAGTTAACTTAATATCTATTTTATGGCTTGGTTTCTGCTCTTTTTACCACTTCTTAGTTGCACATAGACGATATTCTTTGGCGTATTGCATCTGTAGACGATACTTGGGTGGGTGTAGTTATTACAATGGAAAAAGTGAGACAGCCTGGACAATTTGATATACTACAAATAAAACTGAATTAACTCTGTGCTACATTTCTTGAGCAATCATTGAAAGAGCCGATTTGCAAACAATGGAAACATAGGAAAGTCATAGAACATAACCAAGTTGAAGAAATAGAAATAATGTTTGTTTTTTCTTTTTTTTTCATTTATAATCGTTATTATAGACGACCTGATGCGGATATGAGTAGGAATCATTTGTAGAAAACACTAAAAAACAAGATCAGCTTTTGAAAAAACATAAGATATTTACAAACATCAACTCTTTTGATTATATCTAACTGTCGTGTACATCGTGAGTATTTTCATAATCTTTGAATCAACTCTTATAAAGTCATCGGAAGTTATGACTGTTATTCGTTTGAAAATAACGCCTAATGCTTCGCAATTGCTCGAATTTGAGCAACAGGTACACTAGTTAAATTTAAATATAAAGTTTTCTCATTCCAGAGTTATTTTGACAATTTTACAAACCTTTTCAGACAGTTTACTTACAGTTTGATACAAATACAGTTACACCGTTTGTCATTTTGTGGCAATGGTGCGAGACTTATTTGAAAAACTTATTTCAACTAATCATAATTTGTACCTATTGAATTTTATTGTGATAAATTATTTTTCTTAATTTTCAAAATAGTTTGATTCAATAAGTATATTTGTCACCTTCAAGTCCACTGTGGACCTCCAAGACTCTCTCAGACTACCTTTGTTTTGTGGACCACCTGTTGGGAACCACTGAGCTAGAGTGTTGGGTTCCTTCTAAGAGGTTTAGGTTCAAATCCTTCCATATACCAATGGATTTTATAATGCTTTAAGCTTAAGGTGACTAGAAAAAAGTTTGCTTGGAGGAGTAAATACCAAACCAAAGGGAAAAAACTCAATTGCTAAATGAATCTCAAACAGCAACTAACTCATACTAGGCTACTGGTAAGAATCCTTTTCAAGACCAAACCAGCAACTATAAAGTGAGTACCACTCGGATACCCATAATATTTTTCATTATCATTTCATGATGGTTGCAGAGAATTTTAGGTAATTTGTAAAAAGAACCCTATCCTTAATGTCAACTCTTCAAAATATTCTATGCACAGTGTGGAAAACTTTTATAGCACTTTTTATCCACGCTAGTGCCATTTTTTACGTATATTGTAAGGGAAAACTTTAAGCCCTGGTCTTGTTACTACTGTATCTAACAAGGACTTTTTGCTGGATACAACATTGAATGATAGCCCAGTGACAAGTGGCATCAGGGTCGAGTTACGATACTGCTTGGAATTGAAACAGGGACCTCCAGATTTGAAGTCAACCTCTATAGCCATTCAGCTCCCTAGACAGGTTATTGATAACCATAAAGCAAATATTTTCATATTTACAGGAATCATCTATATATATAATACGCTAAGCCGATTTTTGTGAACAGAACTCCTCCCTCATTTTTAGACCGATTTAGATGATTAAAGTGTCAATGTTTTTCGTTTTTTTATATCTTCATTAGTTTGGGCAGGATCTTCCATCAAAATTGGGTTTTCTCCCATAAGATTAACACGGGGGAATCTAAATATTTAATTGGAAACTTTGTCTCCACTAATTTAAGAGAACAGCTGGGCGTAGAAACTTGGTAGAGGTTTCCAACAAAAGGTCTTGGTCTGTAGATGAGTTATCAAAAGAAAAAACAAATAAATTCATTTAGGGCTCTGCCCCAGAAGCCTTTAAAGATCCTTCCACAGATTTGTTTACATTTTGGTCATGTGGATATTACTTTTCAATAAAACAGCTGTTAATTTTAAAATCTATCTATCTATCTATTTATTAATAGGCAAGCATGTTTCTTTAAAACCTTTTTTCTCAGCTCGTGTGCATCGTAGGGAAAATCTACGCATACCGTTAGAAAGCTATTTTCCTGTAGGTGTGCAGAATCCCTTTATAAATTTTAATAGGCTCAAAGATAAGCACAAAAAATAAGTTTAAAAGTTGTAAAAAATTAACATGGATCTTATGCGTTGCTATGCTGGTTACGAAATAACAACGAAATATAAACAGAAAATCAAAACAAATGGAGGAAACTCCAATCACATGTTTTATTTACAGTGTGGGGTGAAAATAGTTAAGTGAGTACATTACATATTTTTGGTCGAGTTTCGACCACTGGACGACCTCTCGTACTTATTTAATACGCAAGCAGGTTTTTTGTGACAATTACTCCTCCAAAACTACTGAACCGATTGACATGTTTTTGGTGTCATTGGAAAGAGCGTAACGTGAAGTTGTGCAGGAAACTCTCTTTTTAGGGAAATAATTAGAGAGTGAGACCCTGGGGCCCTTTAAAGTTTTGTATTCCTCCATAAGATTAACATGGGAAACAAACATTGTTATGAAACTCCAGCTGTTGTCAGAAATTAAAAGTGAGAAGAACATATGTCAATTGTAAAATTATGACAGAGAGGTTATGCAGAAAATCAGGTAGTTTATGAAATAAAGACTGAAATTTGCAAACCTACTGGTGACAATGAGTGATAGGTACCATGCAGACTACATTATCATTGACAAAGACCAACATGGACAACCTATTGCGGCTATAAGTGGGAAACATTTCTACAATACACTAAAAGCCAGATCAGCCTTTGGAAATGATAAAATATTTACAAGAAATGTTGATTATATTGAACTGTTAAGTATGTTGTGAGTATTATCATTAGTTACGTAATCTTTGAGTTGACTCTTTTAAACTCATCTGAATTTATGACTTATATTTGTTCTTAAATAAGTTATTACGTTATTTGTATTTATGTTATTTATGTTATGTGTTTTTGTTGTATTTATGTTATTTGTATTTATGTTATTTGTTATTTGTACGTTTGGTATTTGGTGTATGGTTATTAGTTATTTGTTATAGTTATTAAGTTAAGTTGTTTGTTTTTAAATAACTTATTTGCAATTGCTCGATTTCGAGCAACATGTACACTAGTACTTAATAATATATCAAAAATAGTAATTCTTGTCAACAACTTAAACCAACGACTGATAGCTGATAACCTACTGTCAACTCTTGCTAATATACTGCAAACTTTGTAATAACTTTAATGAAAATCACGATCAGCTGATTTGATATGAAGCTTCAAAATGTAAATTGTTTTGACAATATGGATGTGTATACCTTAAATAATAACTTTTGTTGGAATTTCTATATGGCAGGATAGTTATTTATGTTCGTGAAGAGTAATGGTTTGTTTATGTCATTTTACTTATTTGATATTTGTCATTTAATTTGTTCTGCCCAGTGTCAATCATAAAGCTTGTGAATAGTAGCAGTTAAGCAAAACATTATTTTCCTGTTTGCTTATCTGCTGATAGTGCAAAGTGTATTATGTAGTTAAAAATCTATAGAACTTGAAAGTAATGACAAAGTTATGAATAGTTTGTTATAAATAGCTATTCGATAAAAAAAATGGTTTTTGAATCCCTAGTAGCAGACCTCCTGAACAAATATCTTGGAGAGTATGTGGACAATTTAGATAGATCCCAATTGAAAATTGGAATTTGGGGTGGGAATGTTGTTCTGAAAGATCTTTATCTAAAGCAAAGTGCTTTAGATGACTTAAAACTGCCTGTGAAAACCATGATAGGCTTTCTAGGAAAGTTAAGTTTGAAGATTCCTTGGAAAAATCTGTACAATGCTCCAGTTGAAGCATCAGTTGAAGATCTTTATCTGCTGGTAGTGCCAAACAAGGAAATTGAATACAATCCTGAAAAAGAAAAAAGGTGGAAGCAAGATGCCAAAATGGCTAAATTAAAAGAAGTGGAAGAAGCCTCAAAAACAGAAAAAAATACCGATGCACTAAAATCTGATAATACTCTGGCAGAAAAATTGGCTACACAAATTGTACGGAATATTGAAATATCGATCAAAGATATTCATATTCGGTATGAGGATCGAGTAAATACTGATGGAAAACCTTTTGCTTTTGGTGTAACCTTACATAACCTACAAATCACAACAACAAACTCCTCATGGCAAAGTAGCATTAGCCAGGATCTTAGTTCCATGGTTTATAAGATTCTAAAAATAGAAGGATTTTCTATTTATTGGAACTCCCGTCCAAAAGAATCCTTTTTTGGTCTTTCTAAAAGTGACCTTTACAACCAATTCAAAAGTAAAGTTGCTCCTATTGGGTCTATTGTAAGTAACTTTCAATATATTGTAGGACCTTTAAATGCCAGTTTGAAACTGCAAATAAATCCTAGCCCTGACAGTGTGTATTTTACTATTCCTAAAGTCTTGTGTCATCTTGAACTACCAGTTCTGAAAGTGAGAATCAGCAAGTTACAATACCAGGACATGATTTTGCTCCTGGACTCATTAGATCGGATGTCAAGAGCCGCCCAATACCGCAAATACCATCCAAACGTCGCATCTTACAAGGACAATGCTAAGCTTTGGTGGAAATACATATACAGTTGTACATTAGATGAAATTCGGAGACGTAGACGTAACTGGAAATGGGTTAAGTTACAAAATCACCATCAGTTATGCAAAGAATACTCCAAAGCCTACCAACAGAAGATTTTCCTTTCCAAACCTCCGGCAGAAGTTTTAGAAAAATGTGAGCATTGTGAGAAAAGTCTTGATGTTTTTAACCTACTTTTACTACGACAAAAAGTCAAAAATGAGGTACAGCGGACCAAGTCATTACGAGGACAAATCCAAAAGCCCCAAGGGTGGTTTTCAAATTGGTGGGTCAGTAGTCCAAAAGATGACAGTTCTGTTCAAAGTAGTTTGATCCAACAGTTAAACAAAGTAATGACTCCAGCAGAGAAAGAAAAACTCTTTAGAGCCATAGGATATCAAGAGAATGCCGCGCCTGATGAAACTCCTGTTGAATTTGTTGCTATGGACTTTAACTTCTTTATGGGATGCCTTGAGGTTGAGGTCAAGGATGAGGATTCTCAGGTGCTCCTTGGGATAATCTCAAATGTAATTGCCAGACTGCAGCAAAGACCAGCTGCACAAGCCCTTAAGGTGACGGTAAAAATGGAAAACATTGTGATCTCAGGATTGAAGCAGGAGAATATCAAGCCGGAGTTGGTCCAGAGTAGAATAAGCAGGACTTTTATGGACAGATGCGTAGGTCGGCATGACACCATGTTTAGTGTTTCTTTCGAAATTAATCCTTTAGATAGATCATGTGACCAGAGGATTCACATCGCATCATTGCCATTACACATCACCTACGACGCCTTAACGATCAACAGGGTATTTGATATATTTACCGTAGAGCGTAATTCCGTCATTGCCCGGCTACAAACGGCAGCTAATCTAAAGTTTGCTGAAGTTAAGCAAAAATCAGCCCTCGGTTTGCAATATGCTATTCAAAAGCACACAAGATTGGATATTGAAGTTAAACTTATGGGATTCCATGGAGTAGTTCCACATGGAGGGCGATTTACCGGCAACAACCAGTCTCAAGTAGTGGTTCAGCTAGAACAGATTACCATCAAATCCAAGGCACGCCCTGAAAATGAGTTGAGCATGGAGAACATGTTTAGACGGGGCATTACTGAGGCCGATATGATTAAAGAAATTTTGGATTGCAGCTACGATAGGTATGAAATTAAACTGAAAGATTGTCAGGTTAAGATAATCTTACCTGGTGATTATGAAATAACAAGGCGCCCTATGCCTTCACAACTAGAAGTAGTAATACCAGACCAATCTTTTGTCAGGCCCATAAGCCTTAAGGTTAACATAGGTGTAAGTCTTTTTCTTGAAGATCATAGGCTGCCTAAGTTTAAGATACATGCTGAACTTCCAACCATATCAATTACCTTTGCCGAAACTAGATTACTAAGCTTAGTATCTTTGTTGTTGAGTATACCTCTGCCAGAGCTAAAGAAGGAAGAAGAAGATCAAGAAATTAACATATACACCTCTCACCCTTCTCTTTTAAAATCAAGTGATAAAACCACCCATATTCACGAAATTAAGAAATTGTCTCCAGTATCAAAGGATGATGCCGTACAGTTTACAGAACTTGAGGCAAGTTTCCTCCTTAATGAGGTGTCGTTGACAGTGTTGAAAAGTTCAGAGGGAAGGGATATTTTGTTGGGAGAGTTTAAGGTACTTTTACTGGAAACAGAGATGGCACAAATGACGAGCGATCTTAATGTAAAAGTTCGACTTGGTGGTCTCAGTCTTACTCAGGATTACAATGGACAAAATTTGTGTATAATCGAAACTCCATTGTCAGATGGGATCCAAGATTATCTTTTAGTAGTTTCTTTCTCCACAGCCAAGGAGCAAAATCCTGAATTTCATCGCAATCATGGCTCTATAAAACAGCTACTGGAAATCAATTTCTCTAGTATATGCGTCTTACTTTACCCAGAAGCCCTCCTTGATGCTGTTCAGTGGATTAGTGCTGTGCAAGACTGTATGATTGAGGTGATCAAAAGGCAGAGATCAATTGAATCAAACCAGTCGGTAGGTTTAGGGACTGATAGAAAGAAAATTAGACAAACATCCCAAACGAACAATATGTGTCAAAACCCACCCAACATCCCCCTAGCAAAACGCAGTATCAGGGATTTTAAAAGTTTAAACCCAGTTGTGGATGCAATTATTGACCTTAAAATAAAAGCTAACTTTGGCGAGATTGTTATTATCATGGAAAGTAAATTCCGACAAATCGGAAAGATGATAATCATAGGGGGTAAATCTGATACAATTGTAAACAAGTCTTTTGTTAAAGTCGATGCCACTCTCAGTAACTTTGAGTTCATTGACCTAAGTAGAGAAACAAATTTTACTAAGGTGCTGAGTATTTTAGGTGATGAGGATGCTTTAAAATTTCACTTGACTATGCTAGACAGTGAATTAGTCCAAGAAACAGACGGTATCAATATGATTGTCAAAAGTAAAGTTGCTCGCAGCCGTGTTATATTCGTCAACTATTTGGTGATGTGCCTGCTAGACTTTATTAATGAATTCAATGTTCCTAAAGAAACCATCAGAGATGTTTCATTGGCTGCAGCTGAATTAGCTAAAGCCAACATTCAACAAGTTTATAATCCTTCTTTTAGGGTGATGTTAGATATAAAACTCAAAGCACCCATCATACTAGTGCCAGCTACTATAATGAGTTATGATGCAATTTTTCTGGACTTTGGTACGCTGACAATTTGCAATACTTTCTTAGACCATCATGTCACAAATGATTTTGAGGAACCTCCTAAAGTCATTGACACCTTGAAGTTGGGGCTTTATGATATTAAAGTTTCCAGGGTAAAACTGAATGAGGAAATGGAAGTAGCAGTGGAATGGCATATTATTGATCCAATCAGCTTTTGGTTTACAGCCAAGCGAAACGTCTCATGTGACTGGTTCAACGATGCCATTAACATAGATATAAATGGGCGGCTAGAAACAATCTACGCAAAACTGACTCAGGAAGATTATGTGATGGTTATGTCCATACTGTTTCAGAACCTTGGAGAATATCCCCCTTCAACCATCAGAAACAGTCAATGTTCATCCATCCGTAGCTCTGCTGTTTTTATAGGATTAAACCCAATCCATAACTTAGTAGCCATTCAAAGGGATATAGCTGGAGTAACTAAGGAATATAGATCAGAGGCAAAAGATAAGTTAAAAGACATTGGTAAAACTAAAATAACACTTATATTTACTCTAGAATGTATAGTCATAGATTTAATCAAAGGAAACACAAAAGAAAAATCAAAAAAGGCCATTGAAAAGGGGGATGGGTTGGCAAGATTTACTCTGGGTGAATGTTTATTACAAGGTTCAATTTTGTCTGATGGAACTTTGGATTTCAGTTTGCAGCTGTCAGACTGTGTTTTGGATGATACTCGAAGTTCACAGACTGGCAAGATAACCAGATACATGCAGCGAAAAACTGATGATAACAACCAAGGATCTTTAGTTGACATCATACTAAGGTGGAAAGGTAACAACTTGTTTTTCGATGTCCGCCTTTACAGTTACACACTAATTCTAAACATGCAACACCTGATGGAAGTTGTTGAGTTTTTTACTGGTAATGTTGAGTACACATCACAATCTCCTACAGTAATACACACAAAATGTCCGCAAGGAAATAAAGGTGTAACAGTATCTACTATAACACAACCTGAGAATAATACAATTTCTGTGTCGCTGATCTTGAAGCAACCAGATATTATACTAGTGGAGAACATGGACGATGTTGATACAAATGCTATAGTAATGAATGTTGAAACATTTTTTCAAGCTCGAATGACCGGAAGTGATATGATTATTAGTGGATCCTTGAATGACCTTCAGTTGTACTCTTGCTGGTTTGATCCTGAAAGAAGAGAAAAGTTCAAGGCTAAGATACTTAAGAAAGTAACACTAACTTTTGTGGGTTCCAACCCTCAAGGCCTAGGTCTTCATGTGGATGTTAATATTTCTAGCATTCGACTTGTAGTTTCTCCTGGTGCAATAGGGATTCTGAACAGAGTGTTGGCTGCAATGGCACAAGACAAACAAGATGCTGATTTAAAACTGGACGAGAATGTAGACCAAACCAGTATCTGGAAAATGCAGAAATTAGATGTTTCAGAACATTGGTTTCTAAGAGGTAAAATGACAGAAGAAGGTGCCGGTATGGTCAATATGGAAAAGACACAACCTACGCTGGATGAAGTGTGCAATGTGGCTGTGCCTACTTTGATGGTAACTTTAGAAACTGGCCTAGGTTCCAAGACGAAATCTTTGTTGCTACTGAAGTCAAATTTAAACATTCTCATTCACAATTGGAGTTCTAAGATTTCATTAGATAGCATAGTTTTGCTGGAAGTGTCCTACTACAATAGTCAACAAGAAGTTTGGGAGCCGCTGATAGAGCCTATTGAATCAACAAGCACCATAAAACCGACTAAACACATTCCTTGGCAGATGAGCGTACAGGTTGAAACAAACGAGTTCAAAAGTATCGGAAGTAATACAGACATTGTTGAAAGCATCAATAGTGTTTTAAAAGCAAAACCACGGATGATGATTACAATGGCTTCTAAGGAAATAATGGAAGTAACTGTCACTAAGACTGGTTTAGATGTTTTAGAGGATATTGTTGGGTCCTTCAACAATGCAATTCCAACACCAGATATAAAGATTATGTCAGAATCAGCGCCATATGAGATACAGAATGATCTTGGTTTATCTATCACTGTAGTTCTTACTGGAACAAGGTTTAAGATGTACCTCCCAGAAGGACATAAAGAAGAGGTCCATACAATTGTTTTGGAGCCAAAAGCTAAGTTAAACTTGTGTTTTGTCGAAGAAGAAACTTATGACCAGCTTGAAGAAAAACTGAGTGGGTCTCGTCTTACAAAAGAAAATTATCTTAAAATAATAGTTCCAGTCATGCAATATGAATTGGAGCTATCTGTAGTTAAGACAGGCAAGCATTATTTCTGTCTTAATCACCGAAGTGCAAGAAATGTTAAATGGGGCTTAGTCTCTGATGTTCAAGTTCGGGATAGGGTAACTTTTATATTTCTAAGAGGTACCATTCAGATTCAGAATTATTTAGATATTCCTGTACATGTTCACTTCATGACAAATACAAACGTGGAATTGGAACCTTCAGGAACAATTGAACCAAACGAATACCTGAACCTTCCTCTGCGAGCCATTTCGACAGCTACTAGTGAGCTATTTTTTAGTGTCAAAGGATTTGCCATATCTAGCACGTCTTTTGTGTGGAAAGATGTGCAGAAACCTGTAGCACAGACCAAATTAATTCAGTGCAGTTCTCAGAATATCAAGGATAAAGTACCATTTCTTTTTTGGGCTGAGGGAAGATCAGAGCAAATATTTTATGAACAGTCTGGTCGTCATACATCAGGCTCTAATTGTTACAACATTCAGCTACGACCTACTTTGGTCATCAAAAACTTCCTACCAATTGAAATATTCATCTGCACTCAGAGTCTTATAATGGAAAAACGCGTGCCTTCAGGTGAAAAAGAGCAGGCACATACAGCCGAGCCGGGAGTTTCAACTATTGTTATTAGAATATCAGGTTATCTGGACAAGGATTGGTCTTGTAAACATGAGATTGCAGCCAACCCACCTGAGCTGGATGTTTGGACGTTCCAATCTAGTGACACCAAATACCAGTTAAACTTAGACCTAGGAGTACTTTGTATTAACGAGAATGCCTCATTAGGGTTTACTCTATACTGCCCATATTGGATGATAAATAAAACAGGATTGAGGCTTGCATATTGGAAACCAAATACATCTCAGCGTATTTGGCAAAGGAAGGCAACATTAAATTTTTCAGAACATTCTGACGACACGAGCAGTGTTTCCTATCACCCTCCTCACTACAAAGGTCCAATTATGTTTTCATTTCCCGTTAATGAATTCTGGGGCAAGAAAAAAGCTTCTGTAATGGTGGAAAATGGTGAATGGTCGGACATGTTTCCTCTGGATGTGGCAGGAAGTTCAGGATGTTTGACTAGCAAATCGGATGATATGTTCCACCAGATTGGAGTCAACATAAAGCTGACACATAATTCACTTACCAAACTAGTTACCTTCACCCCTTATCATGTGCTTTTGAACCGCTGTGATTTTACGATTAATATCCAAGAAGTTTCAAGACCTACACACCCTTGGGTCAGTGTGGAGCCAGGTAATGTGTCAGCCTTTTGGCCTAAGAGTAAAGAGAGCAAAACTTCTGGGTTAGTGGTAAAAATTGCAGACTTTTCTGAAACAACTTTACCTTTCCCTTACAACCAAACAGGTACCCACCTTCTAACAATAAACAATAAACATGGTGGTATAAATGTAGACGTTCAAGTAATGGAGGGAGCAGTCCATATCACATTTGCTAACTATAAACTCGGTATGGCTCCAGCGCTTATTATTAACCACTCGTCACATTATATACCTTTGGAGGAAAAAGATATCCGATCTAGAAACCTAGTTCTACCTGCCAGCCACAAACTACTCTTTAATTGGTCAACGATGACAGAGCAACATCTTTTGACTTGGGGTGGGAAGAATTCCACTAATCTTAGAAGAGATGAAATTGGAGATTTTGATGTGAATCCGCAGGTCAAGATATATTGGCTGTCATTTCTTGATGGAATGCAGAGAGTATTGTTGTTTACTGAAAATGCAAAAATAGCCAGGGATATAGAGTTAGTTAGTGAGATGGAAGTATTTGACAGGGAACTTCTTTTTTGTTTCCATGGGATCGGTCTGTCCCTAGTTGATAACATTTCTCACCAAGAAGTTCTGTATCTCAGTATTACAAGCTCAGGTCCAAAGTGGGAGGCTAAGAAACCTGGAGGCAGAAAATTTAAACCAATCTCTGAACACACAAGTTCTCTGATTGAGACAGCTTGGGCTTTGTACATGCAAGAGTTGTCCTTTGATAATAATTTAAGTAACACTGTCCAAGTTGATGACTATATAGTTGACTTTACAGCAATGGAGATGCAAAAGCCGAATCGGAAAGAGTTAAAACGTGTATACACCTACGGTCTGTGGGTTAGGCTGAAAAGATCGCAACACCAGTGGCAACTGCATTCAAAAGTCGACAAATTGCAGATAGATTATCAAAATTATGATTGTGTCTTTCCAGTAGTATTTGCACCTTTTTCACCTCGCAAGACTGTCAAACTCAATGAAATGAGGAAACCATTTGCAGAAGTATCAATAGTTTGGCGAGTGAACCAGCACAGCGCGGTTCAGCAGTACAAGTATTTTAAGGTTCTTGTCCAAGAATGTCACGTCAAGGTTGATGTAGGATTTATCAATGCCTTAATTAAAATGTTTGAGGGAGGTGTGGCCAACTATAATGAGGCTAAATATTTTCAAGAAGACCTCTCATTTGTAGATTCAGCATTGATTTCACACATTGAGCTTCTGTCTTTTAAAGATCAAAAAAACTTTTTTGACTATCTACACTTTTCTCCTCTTAAAATCCATTTCAGTTTTTCACTGTGTCAAGGAGGTGTTCAAACTCAATCACAGACACCTCTAGGGCTCAATTTGCTCTTACAGAGTCTAGGTGTTACTCTTACGGACATCCATGATGTTGTGCTTCGTTTATCATTTTTTGAGCGGAATTGTGTATTTCTAAGCCATAAGCAGCTGCAATCAGATTTGTATATGCATTATCGAGGACAGCTGATCAAACAAATTCACGTTTTAGTGTTGGGACTCGACTGTCTCGGGAATCCCTTCGGGCTTGTGTTTGGAATCAAGGAAGGAGTGCACAATTTGTTCTACGAGCCAATTCAGGGAGCAATACAAGGTCCAGAAGAGTTTGCTGAAGGACTGGTGATTGGCGTGAGAAGTCTATTTGGTAACACAGTGGGAGGAGCAGCCAGGACTGCATCAAGAATAACTGGGGCAATTGGTAAAGGCGTAGCGGCTCTCACGTTTGATGAAGATTATCAAAGAAATCGTCGTGAAGCTATGAACTATCCTTCAACAACCAAAGAAGACTTGGCCAAGAGTGGTAAAAACTTTGTAATGGGAGTTGTGGATGGAGTTGGCGGAGTTGTTTCCAAGCCCATATCGGGAGCTAGGGAGGAAGGAGTTGGGGGTTTCTTTAAGGGATTGGCCACAGGAATGGTGGGTTTAGTCACTAGACCAATATCTGGTGCCATGGACCTTTTAAGTGGCTCCTTGAATGCTGCAATAAGGGGAGCTGGGATAGAAGAAGAAGTAAAACGATTGAGGAGCCCACGATATATACACTCTGACAACATCGTGAGACCATACTGCAAGCTGGAAGCTGATGGTAACAAGTTGTTGAAGGACTTGGGGAAAGGTAAATACTATTCATCTGATATTTATCTGTACCACGCTAACGTTGGGACTACAAAAAATCGCTGCACTCTGCTATTGACTGACAAGAGATTAATACTTCTTAACAGCAATGATTTTACCAGGAATGCAGTGGTCTTCACATTTACATGGGAAGAGATTACACAACCTCCAGTCATACATCCCAAAGGAATACAAATCCATATTGGTGAAGTGAGGAGAAGACGCTTCCATCCTCCGGTTAACATCGAAGTCATTATTGTTGAAAGTGAAGAACAAAGAATAATTTTAATGGAAAAGATTACCAGCTTAATTATTCAGAGGAAAGAGAAAAGTCTTTCTAAGAAATCATGAATGTCTGACTAAAAAACTGCCTTCTTAATGACTCATTTAATATCACAACAGTATTAATTATGCATTTAAATATTATACCTAGACGTCACGAATTTGAAATATACTTTGTTTTAATAAATGTTATACCAATCTAATTAAAAGTGAGTTTTTCAATCCATCCCCAAAATCATAGTTAAGAAACCTAACAACAACAAACATGTCTAGGTTGAATGGTAAATCTTACTCAGCTGAAGGCATGCTTCCTTTGATCACAAAAGATTTGTCATTTACAATGTTAGGGTTAGGACCTGCATGATTTTCATCTATATATAAATACCACAGTAGGTACCCATGAACTTTTGAACATAAAAGTCCTTCACAAAAGGATTTTTGAGATAAGAATTTGTCTATACCATGTTAATCAGGAATGTGAGCTATCATCATAGCAAAATTCAAACCTGTCGGTTTAGTATTTTTTGCGTTTACTTCTCACAAACATCCATCCATCCATCTATCCATCCATCCATCCATACATCCATACATCCAAACTTCCTCAATTATAATACTAGTAGGAAGTAAACCAGAATAGTAGAACATTACAATATATTTATTTTTGCTTCAATCTACATATGTATCCGGACATTTCAGCTAGTACAACATTTTCTCTTAACAAATTAATTATATTTTAATTAAATTATTTAAATTTATCTAATGATTCCCATTCTCAAATCATCCAAAGCCTACTAGATTTTGGACGAGTCAATTCATTCTATGGCAATCATAAGATTTAGACCCTTTGACTAAGTAAGTTATAAATAAGTTACCATCATAAAATAAAGCACAAACTACACGTATCGTCATAAAATATGAATACTCAACTTGTGCCAACAATAATCTATTTACAGAGAAATATTTTTTACAATGTGTTCTAATAATTAATTAGTAGGCTATGAGCTATTCTTGTTTATCATACAGAAAGCATGATTTGTTAGTTTATTAAATCTTCTAAATTATTAAAACATAGCTTTTATCAATGAGGTAAACCAACATTATGATTAATCAGAATGCTAAACACTGACTAATATGTCAAGTACTCATTAATAATTACAAGACTAAAGACTTGTTTACTGCAATTTACCAGAAATCAACATACACTTAGAGTAAAAATTTTTAAGTAAAAATAATGGTTAATAAGAAAAATACTTATACTTAGCACATATCACAAAATATGATTTGCCGATCAATTTTTTTTTGGTAAAATTTGATTGTTAAAGGGGAAAGTATATTCCAGATAGAATTTAAACAGGTCTAAAAACATTTTTTATAGATCTAAGGCATGAAAAATATTGTTAAACATATTTCTTAATTGTTTTTTAGTCACTGAAAAGTCTTCTCGTCCAACCAAGGTCTGAAGATGGGAAGAGTCGAAGGATAGTGTGTCCCTTGCTTTCTTCTCAAAGTTCCATCTGTACTTCTCAAGGGATAAGTGGCCATCATAATTGGCAGCTGAAGTTTCACTTCCTTTTCAAAACTCTTCGGATCGATTATAAACTGAAACCAATAATATAGTCAATCAAGGTATATATTTTCTTGTAAAACTGGTTGAAAATATTTCAGTACTCGTAAAGCCTTTGAGTGCCAAAACTTATCTCAATAACAATATTTTTATCAGAAAAAATACTAGGCAAGCTTTGAGTAACTAACTTTGTACTGACTAAGAATAAAGCTGGGTTTTCCTAGGCGCGGAAGCGTACCGCGGAGAGCGGACTCCTCATGTCTTAGGTAATTTATTGTTACTGTTTTCCTAGAAGCGGAGCGGAATGTCATGTTAATCACTTTTCCGCTCTCCGCCCTTCGCTCTCCGCGCTCCTCTTCCGTGTCTAGGAAAGGCGTCGTCCTGTAATCCAGCTACTAGGAGGTCACGAATTGTGGATAATTATAGGGATGCACTGTGGATGCGATGCTACCTGGTGTGGATTAACGTCCGCACTAGTGAGTACTACGACTATCCGCAGTACTATCCTAAATAATTAGACCAATTCGTTAATTACGAGGAAAAATGTGGTTCGGATTCCACTATAAACTGTAGGTCCCTTAGTTGCCATTAGCTGTATGGGCTATTAATTAACAGCTGTGTCTAAGGAACATGTCGGCCTTAGTCACTAACAAGACTACAAGATCGCGCCACTCATCCTACACTCATCCTTCACTCATATTTGGGTTAAAATACGCACATAGTGGCGTCCCCATCTTAAATAATTGATAATTGATAAACCCAGGTTTAGGGATGTGCGCCCCAGTATTAAAGTTCCCATGTTATCCTTATGAAGAACATATTTGTTTACATTATGATCAGCTGAATAATTTAATTTCTCTTAATATTTTAGCTGCAATTTAAGAAAACCTGTGCTACAAGGATTTACTGACTTGGTTTAAATGAAATATTTACTACCTTGAATTTGGGTTGGCGTAAATTATCACAATGGAAAAAGCAAGAAGCCTGGACGATTTGATATACCTACTAAAACAAAAAGAAAACTGAATTAATACTGTGCTGCATTTCTTGAGCAATCATTGAAAGAGCCGATTTGCAAACTATGGTAACATAGGAAAGTCATAGAACAACATCAAGTAAAAGAAATAGAAATAATGTATTTTTTTATTTATCATCATTATTATGGACTAGTTAACCGCCCGTGCTCCGCCACGGGAATATTGTCAGCAATAAAAAGACATAATAATTAACAAAAACTGTTTATCTAGCTATGTATTTTATTTACGGGCTGATTGATTTGTTTCCATGAAATAGAACTGATAGTTGACCTGTAAGAGCTAGCCTATTTATGTTTATCAAACCGTTATATTAGTATAACCAAATTAATGTTTTATTAATTCCAGTTTCCTTTGAAAAATAAATAATGTATGAACTGCGCAATGATGATAACGTACTAAGCTACTTATGGGGATAATTTGTTCGTGCATATTCATTGTGTGGAATAAAGATAGTTATTAAAATCACGCATCAGCAGTTAGTCGCATTTATCGGGACCGCACCGAAGTTGGCGGTTGTTTAACGACACACGCGGACAACGATAAACTTGGACAGATTAAGTTTCCAGGATATTCGTTTGCGTGCAACGTTAAACTTTGACACTTTTGAATGTGTCCAGTTTTGTCGTGTCTTGCAACAACACTGGACAACTTAAAAACGTGTCCAGGTTCGTCGATTGCATGCAACGTTGAACTAGGACACATTATTGCAGTCTGCTTTTATCGTTGTCTGATTAAGGCAGTGTCTTTTTTTATCCTAGTCCGCGTTTAACGTTGTCCAACTTCGACTTCGTCCCGCATTTATCGGATCTTTGACCCATTCTGTGAGTAACAGCTGTGTTTGCGTCGTAGATATAAAGTTGGCAATACTTTGGCTCAATGTTAGAGGGTATTAACTGTCCAATCCAATTGTAAAAGGAGTCCCGGTTCTTAAAATTGTATAGACTACCAGAATGATGTTGATTCATTAAGATGAGACTTATGAACTCGCCATTGCAAATGCAGAATATCTTGAGTAAGATTCCATCACCAACGATAAAATGTTTGTATGTTTTCTACTCATTAGCAATTATCTGTACAACCTGCAAGCGTATTTCCCCATGATTATTCTGGTGGCCGTAGAGAATAAATAATTTTGATCGGAACAAACAATTTTCCTCAACTACTATGGGTATTATTTCACGTTCCATGCTCCAAACTCAATTACTCATTTACCACTTTCCTTCGGATCGATCAGGAAAACAAATGCATTAAAAAAAAATACAAAATTTACATTGTAGTTCAACGTATCCAGCGTACTCGCCATCTCGAGAAAGTAAAGTTTGGTACTGCTGAAGTTCCCGTCCCCTACTATGGGTATTATTTCACGTTCCATACCTATAACATCCATACCTATACTCAGTTACCACATTCCTTTGGATCACTTAACAGGAAAAGTAACACATTTTTTGAAAATACAAAATTTACATTGTAGTTCCACGTATCCAGCGTACTCGCTATCTCTAGAATGTAATGTTTAAAGCTGCTGAACGCCAAACACTGACCATGAGTAAAACTCATCACCATAAAATGTTTGTATGTTTTCCACTCATTAGCTATTTTATGTAGGCTACAACTTGCAAGCGGATTTCCTTATGATTATTCTGGTGGCAATAAGGAATAAATTATATTAATAAAAAAAACAATAAATTTCCGTCCCCTACCATGGGTATTATTTCACATTCCATACTCAAACTTAGACTCAATTACAACTTTACTTCAGATCGCTTTGCAGGAAAACTAACGCATTATTTGAAAATACAAAGTTTACACAAATCATAGGCTATAAATAATGTTCAAATACATATAAAAATAATACATTGTGGTATAAAAAGTTAAAAAATTAAATTTTCCTTGTTCAAAATCGTGGTTTTTTAACAGGAAATCCTAGATTTTAATGACATACTTAAAGTGAGGTTATAAAAATAATAACAAATGTCTGGCAAACACTAAACAGCTGACGAATAGTTCATAAACTGTGTATATTATATTCTTCAATAAGACTTGTAGTGACACAACCTTTGAAGGGCTGTAGGTCGTAGCCCTTAGAAAAAACGTAAATTTTAAGGAAGTTAGGCAAATCTACGCACTATCCCCTTTAATTTGAGACATTATTCTTGTAGATTGGTCCAGTAATGACTGAGAAAACAGTGTTACAACTGTGTATTAAATAGATTTACATCCTAATGCGGCCATGAGTGGGAAACATTATTTGTAAAAAATACTAAAAACGAGATCAGCATTGGAAAAATTATCAGATATTTACAAGGAATGTTGAGGAGTATTCTATAATCTTTGAGTCGATTATTTTAAAGTGATTATGACTGTTATTCATTTTGAAATAACACCAGTAATACTTCGAAATTCTTCGAAACCGAGCAACAGGTACAATCGTAATTAATTAAATTAGAACACCTTTGCAAAGGAAACGCAACAGCAGCGCACTCCTGTATTGTGGACATTGCAGTATTTTAACTGTGAACATTTTTTTTATCTCAAAAAAATCTCGGAGTAGAGATAATTTTGCTTGAACAAACAAGATTTTTTTATCTGGCAAATTTTTCAAAAGTTTGAAACCCGCCCATTTATACTAGGAATCGGTGTTTCTTTAGACAGGGCCATTTCTTAAAAGTCAAATGATCAATGACAAATGGGCCCAACTTTGGAACTATCAAAAAGATTTTGACCTTTTTTCAGAATGTATTCTATCCCATTTCGACTGTTCCATGAAAAGAGCCAAATCACTATTATGAAATGGTGATTTGAACTATATTTAGACATAAAAACGCTGATAAAGCTGACTTTACGACAACCGCAAAGAGAACCAAATAGAAAAAAAATCTCTAAATAATGGGAGATACAAGCTTTTTACAATAAATTAAGACCGAGAAACTACTACCAGCACATACCAGCTGTGCTAATTGCGCTAACGCATTTGGAAAGACCATGCGAAGTTGAAAACTTGTTCTGACTGTTTTAGCGGGTAAACACTAAGCTTGCTATTGTGATTTTGCTTGTAATGTGTTCCTAATAAATTGATTGTTGTTTTTGGATAAAATCCATCAAGACTTGGTGTGGTAAATATTTACCCTATGCAAGGTCTCACGTTATAGCGATAGTCGCAGGCCAAGGGCCCACTAGAAACAAAAGGCCATGCTGCAGCGCGGGCAGCGCAACACTACATCACAAATCACAATGGTGGCTAGTTGTAAGACATAATAGCATTAAAATCTGACAAACAGCCAGCTTATTTACCTCAAACATGGGATATGGCAGTCCTATCCACAAGTGTGCCGTCATGGATCCTGCAACATGGCCTTTTTTTCTAGTGGGGCCTTGTGAATAATGCACCCAACTGTCCTCAGGATCAAACTGACATCCTTCATATTTCTAGAAGGAGCACTACAACCACTCGAGAACATGGTTGTTTTATAAGCAAAAATTAAAAATTTTCTTGCTCTGTCTCTTCTTGCTCTAAAACTGACTAAAGCTTTTTAAAATAGAGCCCAGCTGAGACCTCGCAGCAGATTAATGTTTTTAACGCCCTCGACATGGCCTTCAAAATATTCCCTGAGCTTCTTGTGAAGCGACACATTGCATTACTTACATAGACATCGTACTGTATCTTGATGAGGTGACAGCCACGTAGGTTGGTGGGGGGAAGAGGAGGAACGTAGAGTTGTTCGCTGTTCCATTCGTCACTCTCACCAGGTCTTATCTTACCTCTCGAGAGGGATGCTAACTCTCTGGTTTCCGACTGCAGCACCTTCCCCCTCGCTTTGTACTGTATTGTCTGCAATAGAGGTAAAATATGAGTCTAAAGCAATGTGGAAATTAGGTTAGGTGAAGAATGATGTAAAAATGGTGTTTTAATGGAGGGTGGTTGATTTTCTTAAATTCGGAAATGTCAACTGATGGGCGGATGACGGAAGATCAAAGCTAGACTGTGCAGCACAGTGTGATGTGAAGAGAATGATAGTAGAATACAGACTGGAGAACATTGTTTGAGCTACTGAATGCAAAACAAGTTGGAATTGAATTATAAATTAGGAGATTAGAGGTGGTGTTTTTGATTGCAGGTTGAGAGGAAGAGTATAAAAAGGAAGATAGTTTTGTTTGAAGAAATGATAAGAAAATAAGAAAGAATTTTAAGAAAATTGAGTGGACTGATGATATTAGAGGGAGAATGAGAGGAAGACTGAGAAAATGTGGAAGTATTACTTCAAAGGGAATGTGGAGAAGAGATTAGATAGGTATAGTAAGAGAAACTGTAAGGAAATAGGAGAAGGGTAAGGACTAATCAACGTCATCATCTGAAAATAAATGGAAGGAAATGAACAAAGATAAATTGAACTGGTTGTGTCAGTGGACTCTAGGTTAATCAGTATAGCTATGCATAGTTTATAAGATGTGCATAAATCATGACCCAACTAATATCAACCAAGAGCTTTAAGTTTATGTAAAGTCATAACAACACACACTCCTGTATCCAAAAATAGTACCACAGCAAGTCTCTAATCTGCTGTGAAGTAGTAATAAGGGAGATAGTTAATCTTATAGTACCAGCAGTGAATACGGATCCTGCAACAGACATTCTGTAGGTACATCCTAATTATAAAGAGGAGAGAGGAGAGATTATGTAAATATTCAGAATAATTATTTGTGTACTACTAGTTACTAGTGGGCGAAGTGACACTTTGCTGCACATGAGGGAAATGTTTACGCACGAGCCGTAGGCGAGTGTGGAAAGTTTCTTGAGTGCAGCAAAGGCAGTTTGCACGTTACACGTTTTCCTACAGTTACTAAAGCATATAAATAATTAGTCTTTGAAACACTGTACATAACACGTTTTTAGGTTAGGTTAAATCCCAACATTGAACAAAATGGGAAACGCTGCACCAGCTGATCGTAGTCATATCTTCACCTGTTGAAGTGTAGTTGCCAACCTATTTCCTAGCGTACACGGATTATTTGGAAAGTAAAAGCACCCTTTTTTGTGTCGTTTGGTTGGAATACTGGTGTGCAACAAAGTAAAAACTGTGGGACAAAGTAAAAAGTGTGAGGCAAAGTAAGTAAATGCAGCAATTAATTAGCAGCTTTCTGTACTATAATCAGTAGGTACAAGGAAGCCCACTTTGTTGGGTGACTGTAGGAAAAAATCAATGTATTACATTGGCTGTAAACAAATAGCCTTATAAACTGTTTTATTTGTTACATTAGTTGCCTTTTTACTTTCTTCCCCTATACACATATAGTTTTTGTAAAAATTTTCAATTTTGAGTTTTGAGTGGATATATCCGTTTTGCGCCCCCCCCCCCCCCCTGAACCCACAAAGTGGTTTTCAAAGTGATGTCTGTGTGTGTATGTGTGTGTGGATGTGTACAGATTTACAGACCACACCTGTACTCCGATTTTGTTGAAATTTGGTATGTCGGTACTAATCCATGGTATCTCCAGGCTTTTTTCATCTTTTCAAAATTTTGATTTTTAATGGTGATTTTCCCCATTACATAACAGAAAAATTGAATTTTCTCTAAAATGGCCCAAACGATTTTGATAAAAATTTAGTATGTTATAGTTCTTTAAACTCTGAACGAAATGGTACAAATACAGTTCTAAAGTTATTGTAACATAGGGTATTTTCCAATAAAAACCCCATAAAAAAACAACAAATCTCATTTTATGAAAAAAGCCGGTTTTGATTAAAATTAATGTGTTATGGTCCTTATAATTCCAAACAATATAGTGAAACCCCCAATTGCTGTAACAATACAGTTCAAAGGTTATTGCAACTTTTGTGATTTTTCCTATAAAATATCATAGTTACTCCCACCGCTTAGTTACCCATGATTAAGGTTGTTGACAAGTTTATAGCAGAAAGTATTTGTCAGATTGCTGATACTGTTTATTTAATATTGATATTAATTGTGTGTAATTTATAGTTCAATCGCTTTTATTCTAAGTAAAATGTGATGTTTTATTTCCAATCTTGTTGTCATAAAGACAACCTATTGAGAAAATGTTATACAAGTTGTAAATTTAAAAGATAATGTAATTAAATGTAAAATCACTAAAAATATCATATTACCGAATTTCAAACACCTAACTTGTGACAGTTGTTGATACCTCAGTAAGTGATGCCTTGGTGGATTTAATGGTAACTTTGCTGTGGTTCTCCACAGTTGCAGAAATGCCGATGGTCTCGCCAGGTACGTAGCCACCTCGGTCTAGAGACACCCGACAGACGACGGGACCAGAGTTGACACAGCTGACTCCCAACTTGTGCTCTATCTCACAGCGGAAGGGTTGCTGCAACAAGATGAACATTTGAAACAACAGCAAAATGTTGTTGTTAAGTTATAATCAATTGTCTGGCTTTAAGAATCAGAAGAACTGCCAGGGATTAGATAAAACACCACAGGAGGGTGGATACCTCCTGGACAACCTAAGAAGAGGTGGAAAGAGAAGTGCAAGATGATGAGACCATGATGAGAGTTGAAGAAGATGCTAAGGCTGTGAGCCGTCAAAGCAAATTGTTGGTGAGGACAAATAACACTTTGAGTGTAAAAAGCCACCACGGAAGTAAGTAATTATGGAATCTTTTGGTGGGGTTTTCAATACATAGAAAGATTATAACTTCTTTTCTTTTCTAAATAGGTAGACCTGCAGTGGAAAGTGGAATCCGAACCACTAGATTACCGCATTATCAAATATCTAATAGCTATTGGTGATTAGAAGGATTTCATTATGATAATTTTGAATTGGAGTTCCTAGATCTTAGGAACAAATTCTGCAGGCTGCAATTTTTTTGATTGAATGAAATTAAATAATAAACTATAGGTAATAGAATATAACTATAGGATATAGGGATGTAGGGACCCCCTTGATTAATCTTTGAATGATGAAAAGGCCATGTTTTTATTGTGTTTTCAATTTGTAATATTTTTTTAGAGGTTGGCAGCCTTTTACCTAGCATTTGGCCATCCACAAGGGCCACAGGGGCCTGTGCGTGGAATTTATTCAGCAGAGCAAGGGGTGGACTGTACTGATAAAAAATAGTGGCAGGTACCAGTATCCGAACCCAGGATATTGCTACACGGACTTCGTGGCGCCACTGACTCACCAAATAAATGTATCTCCTCCTTTTTAGACTGTTAAGATCAACAACCAATAAACGTCAAAATTATACAAGCATAAACTGTAGGGTTTAAGTGACAGTTACTTTATTGTTGCAACTAGATCAGACCTATTAATGGTTGATAAGTTGTGGGGTGTCAGAAGTTGTTTTGATATTTTTTATAAGACTGAATGCTTGACTTAGCTGTTGTTGACTGAATGTTTTTATTTTATTTCTGGGGGAGCACTAAAAGGTTTATTTGCTCTTTGATTACCAGAGGACAAAAAATATGATCTATAAATAAATGTTATGTGGTAAAATAGTTTTAAAGTTACTGAAATAAAAATAAATAACCAGTAAGAATCAAAAATATCTTCTAGTATACCAGGCAAACAGGCCTGAAGCTAAAGGATCTAGATAAGGATATGACATACAAGCAAGTGAAGTAAGCTATACGTGCAGATAAAAGGTACAGCCCATGTCTTTAAACGGGTTTTCAATTTTCAAAACTTACAGACAAGATGTTGGGCTCTAGGTTGAGATCTATGGGGTTCATGACAATGAAGACCTGTTGATTCTTATGTGTTAGACCATTGGGTTCCCTCAGTGCTGCTTTACAGAAGTATTGGACCCAGCCATGCTTGCCCAGGAAGGTGGAGGGTAGACCTAGAGGTAGCCCGAGCTTGAAGGGAAAACTGTGGATTCCGGGAGAGAGTAATACTGGTCCCTGGCCTGGAAAAAAATTAATTCAGTTACAGCAATTTGTTTTTAATTGGCATAGTTTATTCTTAAGACTTTTAGTATCTACTATATTGCACAAAAGTATACATTCAATTTGAACTACAATGAATTTAAGGAATGGACTAATAACTCATCCAAAAAGTTGAGAGATTTAATTTGATATTTTTGGTCTCACAAGAGGTTGCTTCTATAGAAGAACTGTAGTACAAAGTAGAGTTCAACTGTTTTAACCAGGGTACGTGAAATTCTTCTCTGTGATTAGTTAGTTGTAGATTCCATTCCTTCTTAATATTTAAAATGGTAAACATTTCTCTCTTTGATTTAAGTGACAAACTTAAATCAAAGAGAGAAATGTTTACCATTTTAAATCTTCTGCTGAAAAAAGTATTTGTTGAGAGAACATACTATAGTTCGGCCGCTTAGAAAGCGACCTCCTCCAGCATTGGTTTAGCATTAGCGCGCAGGTCGTTTTCTAAGCGGCCGAACTATAAGAGCTAATCACATTCTAATTAGAGTGTGAAGACAGCAACACTTTAGTACAGAAATGAATCGTTGATTGTTTTCTGTATTGGTAAGCCTGTGGCTATTTCTTGAAAACTAGTGAGCAAAAGGAAGTCCACATATAATGGAAGGCTTATCAAAGTTTTACATTATCGTAAATGATCACCATCAAAAAAGCATAAAGATGATTTTAATAGGATTCCATGTGATAATGTAAACTTTCTATCACAAATAAATGCAGTACCTAATGGAACATTTCCCCCCACCCCCTTGACCGTGCTTGTCCGTGTTGGTCTAGCTCTTCTTATACGTCTGTATATTATTAGTGTAAGCGTTGTTCAATAATGGAATATGGTGAGTTGAGTAATAAATGGCAAAAAACTGAATCTCACTTTTTATGTCAAGATTGATGTACCGTACACACAAAAAATATTGAATCCAACTATATCTGAAACCACAATAGTTAAAAAAAAACCAAACGTATGAAAGATAAAAGATCAGAAACATAGTCATGTATTTCTTCCATCAAGGATTTCAATGTAAAAAATGTCCACATGTGTAGCATCATAAATGACCACAGCTTTCACTGCTGCAATGCAATCTAATGACAGAGAGTGGTTTTTACATGTGCTTGTGCTTGTACTAGACTACCGTTACTTACTACTAACATGTGAATGATGGCAATGCATGGAGAAAGTTAGATTTAGAACAGAGACAAACAGCTGTCAAACAATACCAGCCTACAAGCATGTCTGGTGATAGAATCATGAGAGATATCCAACCAGATATGATAGGAAAATAGTAAAAGTAGAGGTCCATGAGAAACTGTAAGGAAATTATTTAAACTGAATAAAATTTTTGTGACTTGTGTTTTAACTATGAAAGAGTGTCGCCTATGATAAATGGGGAGAAATTAATTACCAAGCTGGATAGCTGAGTGGTTATAGCACTATTTAATTAGAGAGTCATTTGGTTCGATCCTGGGAAAACTCAATAGATTTTTGATACTTAAAAACTGGACAAAGCTGTCCTTGATCATTGGCCTTTTTTAATAAATGGTCCTGATTAAAGAACAAGTTCATCCAGCCAATAAAACTACACAGATCACCTCTGGACATAGAAAGGACCAAAACAGTTGCTAAAGGCAATATATAGATATGATAAGGATGAAAGGCAGTCCTAAAAGAAGATAGATAAAATAAGACTGGGACGGGTGGCGTCGTCCTGTAATCCAGCTACTAGGAGGTCACGAATTGTGGATATTTATAGGGATGCACTGTGGATGCGATGCTCACTGGTGTGGATTAACGTCCGCACTAGTGAGTACTACGACTATCCGCAGTACTATCCTGATAATTAGACCAATTCGTAAATTACAAGGAAAAATGTGGTTCGGATTCCACTATAAACTGTAGGTCCCTTAGTTGCCATTAGCTGTATGGGCTATTAATTAACAGCTGTGTCTAAGGAACATGTCGGCCTTAGTCACTAACAAGACTACAAGATCGCGCCACTCATCCTACACTCATCCTTCACTCATATTTGGGTTAAAATACGCACATAGTGGCGTCCCCATCTTAAATAATTGATTGATTGATTGATTGATTGATTGAAGTAAAATATCTAAGATCACTTGGTCGTATAGAACCTAGGACAATTAGTAGAAGAGCCTTTTGGAAACAATATTAAGCGTAAACCTGGGACAACAGGCAACCAAGCCCACAATGGCCTTAAGGTACCTAACACATCTCTGACTTCTGACTTCTTATATCTGCTATAGAAGCTAAGTACCGGTACTTACCAGGTTCTCCTAAAAGCCTCATGCGGAAGTCTATGTAGTTTTCTCTGTCATAAACTCTTTCTTGCCTTTGACTGTGCAACCGGACAACTCCTTCCCCCACCACGTGGAAATGTAGCCCTGCGGACAACCAGAATAATGAGACTATTTAAATACAAAACGATGTTGTCTTAACACTTTATAAAACACAGAGACAGAACATCTAAATAGCTTAATCAGTGGTCGATTCCGATGGTTGTCCCAGCTGAAAGGGTAGCACTTAGCAGCCACTCCAAATTGTCATATTGCTGTCCATTAGAACTGTATATTTTTTAAATTAACTGTTATCCAAATTTGACTTAAAATTCTCCATACATTAAAAAAAATACGTTTTTGCTCAATGTCAGTCTGTATCTCAATAGTGTCAATTATTTTCTCAATCTCAATGGTTTCAATTGTTTGCACACATTATGATGAGGATTATCAGAACTTTGACATTTAAGTCCAAATACATTTTCCAAAGAAATAAGTCATTACAAGTTTACAAATAGACAATAAGGCCTTATAATTTTTTTCCTTCGCCAAAAAGTGATTTTCAGCTCAGCAAGAGCAGGACAATAATAGTAGCATCTCATGGTTGTGAACAGCTCACATAATGTCTCGTCCCATCTCACACAATCACATTGTCTGTCAGTAGAGACTGATGGCATATGCCTGACATTCAGTAGGCCTGTTTTTGTGTCTATTGTCTGATGAACTAATTTGACACACATCTCTAGATGTGCTTTTGTATCATCCGACAAAACACCTTGAGGCCCCCCATACACGTAACGATCGGCCGGCCGGCGAGGGCCGGAAGGCCAATCTGAACAGTTTGGCCTGTGAAAGGACGGTCGGTCCCCATACACGCAACGATTCGCCTGCCGGCCGGACTGAAATTTCTCCGCCTAGTGGCAAGTGTGCAGTCAGTTTTCGTACGGCAAAAACGTTTTTGTTAACTTGCTAAAAGCTGGATCTTTCAAGTCCCTGTTGTGGTATGCCTTTGTTTTGACCCTCCGCCGATATTCATGCTTTCTGTATTCTTCTATAAAGGCTAGCACATGCTGATTAGTCCACGTAGCCATATTAGTACAAATACTGAACAAAAAATAAAGTTAGGTTATGTCAATGACCGTGCCTGAACTTAAAAATGAACGTAAATAAACAAAATAATGCTACTACTGTACTGTCGGCCTTCCGGCGGCCTGCCGGCGACCCCATACACGTAACGATCGGCCTGAAGGCGGGGGTTGGCCGGACGACACACGTAACGATCGGCCGGCCGGCGTGGACTGTTCAGGCCGGGCCGGCCGGCCGATCGTTACGTGTATGGGGGGCCTGAGAAGTAGGAGAAGAAAAGGGGAGGGGTTGATTCATCAGCTTTAAACCGTGGACGTCATCTATAGGACTAAAGCCACCTTCGGGCTCAGAAACATATAATATATACCTAAAAGCGGGGATGCATTTTGAAATTTTGATAGCCTAAAATTGTAGACTCTTATGAAAATAAGCAGAAATTTCAGCTTGGATAAACTTATTTTCGTCAGTAATCAGACAAAATATCGAAATTATTCTTTCATACAAAACAGAAAAAGTAGGTGATTTTTGACAAAATATAGTCATCTTGAGGTCAAAAATGTTAGAGGAACTGCTAATTATTCATCAATATTTTAACATAAAATGTCTGTTCACTGATACGATTTTATTGATATGATGTTATAGTATAAATAAAGCAAATTGTATTGTAACAAAATAAACCACAAAATATAGGTCCTATACGAATTATTTGTACAATTTCTACAGAATTTAACTGAACATTTACTTTTAAAACAGGATCTAAAATAGGATGTACCATTTTTGCTGTTTTGAAATGCAATTACAAACCAATAATTACCGCTATTCTGTTTACTACCATCTATCACCGATAATGTTTTAGGTCAAATATACGTACGTAATGTAGACTGACTGAGGTTTAAGTTGTAAGATCATTGACTATACATTAAACATTTATTTAAGTAGTTAGTAGTTCACAATGCTATTAGATGAGGTTATGTGACAAAAATCAACGGTGGAATACATTGACTACATATGCATAAGTGCGCCATCCAAACAGATGGTCGGAAAGGCGTTCAGGTCAAACAGTTTTGGCACTTATCGCATCCAAGCGTAACCGGACTGGAGTGTTGAAATGCCGGAGCTAAATTGGGATAACGTTATCGTGCAAGTGTCGGTTGTCGGATAATTTCGGATAACGTGTCGGATAATTTCGTACAACGTTAGATAATCGCAGAAAACGTTGGGTAGCGTGAACTACTTCTCAGCTCTCACATGATGATGAATTAGACTTTTAAAGTGGTTAGCGGTCTCGGTCTTTGATGGCCTTGGAATTTGATACATATCGGGTATGTGAGAGAAACTACCAAATAAGGAAACGAGCCCGTATAATTCAAAATCAAAATTTACTTTGGCTATTGCAAGTAGTCCCATATCGTCAAATATGAATGTCCGTTACGGAATTGTAGATTGGATTAACTACGACCATAAACATTTAAATACCGTGAAGAAAGTATGCTGGGGAATCTCATCAACGAAGCAGTTGTTTAAAAGTACAATCCGGTAGTTCATTTACAATCCTTAAACGTTTATTGTCATCACTTAAAACGCCAATTATTAGGCCTATTATTGCTATTACTGGCTACAGCCATTGAATATATATTCAATGCTACAACTTTGGGATGGACTTTTCAGTTTTATCTTTGACTCTCAATAGATAATAGCCTTATACAGATGATTTATGGAAAAGTTATGTAGGCCTACTACTATCATTGTACTGTATTGACTATTGGATACACAAGCTACTATTAAGCCTATTTATCTAGGACAGCTTGGTCCTGTTTCGGACCATCAAAAATTTTTGAATTGTCCCAGAATGAAACTGGTGATTTTATGAATTTTCGTTTCGAGTAGCCTACTATGTTCCCTCAACCTAAACCTGACGCTTGCCAAATATGCACAAAAATATCATTTACCAAACTGATTAATCAATAACAATAACCCCCGTGGTTCTATCAAAATATTACTTATTACCATAGACAAAAATGTGTCTATGTTATTACTTAAATGTAATAACTGTTTGAAGGATAATCCTATTGTTAAAGTATCGAGGAATCAGCTAAACTACGCTCCACATTGCTCAGTCGTGCCAACACCGCACTGTTGTTATAGTTAGGTTATGTTGTGGTTGAGGTTATGGTGAGCTTTCACCACGAGGTGACGGCCATCTTGTTACGTCATGAGGATGAGTAGGTCGCCGACATAGCCTCTGGGTGGAGTCGCAGCGCAGTCACTGATTACGTACACCAAGGTAACATCTGGAGCCTGACTTGCACTTAGTGACCTTCAGGACGATCTTTGGTTCTGATAAGACCATAGCTTTCAGTGACTTGAACATGAAATAATCCGGCATAGGAGGCCTACAATATTTTGTGCTGTAACGATTTTGAGCTGGTTGCCTGCTCCCAAAATATGTTCGGTCTCTGATTCTGCACTATGAATTTAATCATTGCCTGTAGCAAGGTGCAAACAAAGAACAGGCTTGAGAAACTTTATTTTATTTCTATGCCCTATTTTTTCGTGACTTTTGGGATCCAAAAATTAAGTTCGTGACTGGTAGACCCTGTGGTTGTGCGTTGTATTAAAATGCTTTAATAAAGGTTATTAATCGCTCAACTTATAGTAATTAATTAAACTCCATGTTTTAGCCCCTGAGTTGTGACATAGTTATAAATAGGTATTCACCTTTGTCTACAGCTTAATCTGTTACTAGAAGTATACACAATTTGTATTCGTGGCTTATACAGAAAATAATGTTGTTGATACAATTTTAAATGACAAACTAAAATATAAATAAAAATTGATATTCAATAATATTTTAGACCAGGATAATAGACCAAAGGCAGGAGTATACGAAGGTCAGCCGATATGATGCCTCCAGTCGGAATCAGTTCAGATCGCGGCAATGTCAACCGGGACTCCTTGTGTGTGCGACGACAGGACTGTTAAATTCAAACGTTGTATTTTCATCAAATATAAAATAAAATCAAAGACTATGGACTCTATAGTCTGTGGTAAACTGATGTTCGTGTTGTGTGTATTAACAATGACGACGCTACATCATCTAAATATTTCACGCCTGATGATGGCATTAATTCCGAAACGGCCGTAACACAAGTTGCAACAGATTGAGCTGTAGACAAAGGAAAATAACTATTTTTAATTATAGTGTTCGCACTCAAATCTGAATGTTGCTGGCTTAATCCTTGGCAGAATCGATTCTGAACTCGTATTCCGTTTGTCGTCCCGTCTAATCCAAGCTACCTTAATAAGTTAGAAGTTATATACAAAACTGTGGTTTGGACCATCTAAACATGAACCTTAAAATTTCAATTGGATAGCACACAGATCTAATACTCATTACCTAATCTAATCATAAGGTCCGTAAGAACGTATTTGACATTCAAATTTGCTGTAGAAAGCCTTATCCATGGATTTAGCAGTATTTTATTTATATACCTTATAAATCAGTTTGATTCTTCATCAACTAAATAAAACTACCAATTATTTGTAACCCGTAAAACTCATCTAGCCTATTATTAACCTCAATTCTGTTCTACATACGTTTGCTTTGTTTTCTCACTGAGTGCGAGTGTTGTTGTCAACCCGTCGTGAAATTGCTGTCAATATTAACAACAGTTTGTTTACTAATTACCAAACAAGTGTGTTCCTAATTATTATTGGAAGCGAAAGCCACAGGAAACAAACTAAGAAGATTCCAGATGGTGTTTACAAAACAATGGATCATTCATTAATCGAACTTTACTCTATAAAATAAACAAATTTTCCGTAATTTTTTTCAAAAAATCTGAAACGTTCTTAAGATTACAGTAAGAAATAAAAGTGATTCAATAACAACCCTGATACAATTCAGACGATGAAAAAGTACGGTAAGCTACGTAATAGGCCTAACAGGATCATTTACAAAACAATAAGGACAACCAATATTAAATCGATGCAACAATGTAAACAAACATACAAATTGACCG